TATGGCTGAACTTGATACAAGAAGTTTCGCAGCTGTTTGGAAGGTGACGTAAATTCCATAGGCCTTCTCCAGTCAGGCTGCGATTGGAGATGGCTTCATATTTTGGTGTACATGAAGGTGATGGACGAGAGCCTGCTCCTGCTTATCGAGGAACATCTTGTATCCTGGTATTCTCCACCCTGGTACTCGTATCCACGTCTTCTGTCTGGGCTGTGTGAACTCTAGAGATATGTGCCTCGGACAAAGAGTCTTTTTTGGCATCCCCCTGTACGTCTAATGCACTTTTGAAGGTTCTGTGTTTTGCTCCACTCATAAGACAACAAGCTTAAGAACCTACATTTTGGAATCCAACTGTCAGCGAGTTGCAATCGGAGTTGCAATCGAAAGATAAGCCAACTATGCTCAACACACAACTTTTCCCCTCACCCTGAGCGTATTTCGCATGAGCGACCTCACCAAAAAACTCGTGTTTTAGCGCGAAAACCCGTGGAAAACAGGAGTGAGATATCTATCTCGATATAGCTGGCTACTAGCAGGAACCGCGTGCAAACCTATGGCTTGCCGAGGAAGTTTTTTCCGAGGGTTCGATCCATATCGTATAGCGCTGGCCAGTTATTGGCAACCATAAGATGTGAACATTCAGCGCGTATTTGTAACATAAAGGGATGACGAGTATCCGTTTGGTAACGACATACGCGCAATGGTCATTCAGCTGCGTTATGGCGTAAATGGGCTCCTTACCTTAGGGTCAACTGGTCGCTCTTGAATGAATGAAGACTTCAGAATTGATGAAGAACCTGAGGGCACAACGCCACTTGGTAGCACCCGTCCAGGGAGAACCAAGACTTGTTGGTAGTATCTGAAAGAGAAAAAGAAGTAATTCGCCAATTTTTTGTCTGAGATTTTTATTCTTGGACCCAACAAACTCACGTCTTTCCATCGGGCTGCACAATCGGTTGGTATACGTATTGTGGTCGCACATTGGATGGAGTCAAGCTGAAATGTGTCATATTAGAACCTCTTCAGGGTGGGCAACAAGTCTCAGGACGAACCCGGTATCGCTTTGCACCACGGGCAGAGAACCGAAAGTGCGTTGAGACACTCCTGATTGAATAGGTGTGGGAGGCAATGGCAAAGGTATAGGTGTTGTGGAAGGTACCTGATCGACTTTCGACAAAATACTGGAAAAGAGCTTCTGTCAGTTCAAAAATGAGTGAACCTGAATTAAAGCTTACTCTCGGATTGAAATCAATGTCGGATCCTTCTTGCTGTGCTTCTTTCTCTTTCTCGGCTTCTCCTCCTCTTCCTCCTCGGAACCATCCTGCAGTAGCAGTTAATATAAAAAGTTCTAGAAAGACTAGAACTTCTCAATCGCTCACCTGGTTGTTGTCTTCCTCTTCATCCTCTTCGCTCCTATGAACTTTCCTGAAGTGTAACTTTTTGTTGCAGAAGAAACACGTGGATTTACACAGAGGGCGACTTGGAAGGGACTATCAGGCCACTAGTTCGTCTTGAGAGGGCATTATGCGCACTCTGTTTCTTCCTAGTTAGTTCCTGGCAAATTAACGGGATACACTTTGGTAAGACATGTGAATTCCTATGAAGTTCTCACATGGTGTGATTGAGTCGCTTTTATGACAGAATATTACAGGACTTCACAAGATGGGCTGCACTAGTGTCGCCAATTACCATTAGATGCCCCCACCAGACCAAACTGTGCCGGACTTTCTGACCCATCTCGTGTAAGGGAAGAAAGAATTAACGCCTCCGTCTCGTTGTATGCAAATCGACTTTTAGGGATCAGCGACACTCATTCCTGGCAAAACATAGTGGCTTACTGCGTGCGATGTTGCCCGAACTCAGACCAAGCCGTTTGTAGCAGTAATGTGCTCTTATCCTCCGTGCTTATCTGGTAGCTGACTTTACGTCCGGAGAGGTAGCCAAACCCGAATTGATCAATACTTGGTCCTTCAGACGCGTGGCGCGTGTAAGCCGTGCCACTTTGCACTAAACCACGCCCTGCCTTTCAAAAACTTGTTTGGTAAGTCTTCCGCAAAGATTGAAGTCTTTAAAGGCTGAGCCCGCATTCAAATTTGATGAGTTATGCGGCTCAAATACTTATAACAAGGTAGCAAGTAACCCCTCAGTAAAGAAAAATCAGAAAGAAATCATACCCAAAAATGCCCTGAAGGAGTCGTTTAATACACGCGAGGCAGCGGTAGTGGCTCCAAGGCGAAGAGAAGGAGGCGGTTGTTGGCACGAGTTTCTGCGACTTGATTGATGACAAGCTGTTTTCCTTATCACCTCACTCTCACCACTCGACGTGGAGAGAAGCAGCAGCGAAACAACCGCACCATCAGGTAACCATTAGGAATGAGTGGAGGGCGGTGCCAATGATTGTAGGTTGGGTCAATGATAAGAACGACGGCATCGTGGCTCTCCTCACGCGTTTTTTGTCGCCGCGAATCGTGTGTATACTCCTCATCAGTTACGGATGTCGGGGCGGGTCAGTGGGCTGCGTTTTTCCGCGGTTCAAATCTTTCGCCACCAGTTTTTTGAAGGGGGCGATCAATGAATAATAGCATTGTACATCCTTCGTATTGTCGTTTTTCTTATCCACTCTTTCGTGCATATGCGCTTCAAAGAAAGGCTGAGAACGGCTTCAAACAGTGTGCGCACTCCTTCTGGCCGATACGCCCCGACAGTCCGTAATGATGAGGAGTGTAAGTGTACCTCAGGCGGACGCTAACAGCCGTGCTACTGAAGGGAGAGAAAATCTCAAGTGAAGCGTGATGGCTGCCATTTAATCACATTTTCAGCTCAACGCAGGTCTGCTCCTTTTACTATTCTTGTTGCCGAATCCAGAATTGAAATTGTGAAAATCAAGGCAACTGGGATAAGTATTAGGACGCAGGTGAACCAAACTGCCAGATTCCTCACAGTAGGTTCTCACGTTGACGAAGAGCGGTCCTTATCTGAATCTTGTCACTTCTCTACATATGTGCGCTCCTACATAGAATGCCCAAGCGTCGTGACACTCGACAATCCCTGTTTCGATGGCGAATTCCAGGTCCACACAGTTCGAATAAGTTTGACTTCACAGCGAGGCGAGGTATTACCTGAGATTGATGACCGGCCTCGATAACGCTTCCGATGCTAGCGCGCGGAATCTCGGCCCTTTTATGATAGAAGACTGTTCCCTTCGTAAAAACAACGTCGATTTTCGGTGAGAAGTGTTCAGCAACTTTCAGTGCCGAAAGTCACGTTACTAACTAGCTCAAATTGGAACGCACGAACCTTTTAAATGGTTCAGCGCAGCCTCTATCCAACCTGTTACCTGGGTCACTTTTATGACCAGAACAGGATCAGTGGAGTGTCCTGGTTGGGCTGCACCCGTGAGTTCAACAAACAAACGCCAAAAAACGCGGGGCTGATTTTTGAACTTGCTCCCGCCGCAGTGTACCCGGAACTATTAACTGGACTGGGCGACTTCCTGCGACACCAGGGTATTACCCCTACGGCACATCGTACGTGCTAGGGATCCCAATGAGGGAAGTCGGTCTCGTTGGAGGAGGGGGGGGGGTATTTGCTACTGTACAAAAATATTATGGTTGTTGACTTTTTGGTTTCCCCTTTCCACGTGAGCCATACACCCGCTCCGTTCGGCGGCGATTTCTTGAAATGGGTTTATAGACAGATGGATTTGAGGCTTCTAGTGGCAATTTTCCTGTTTTTCTCTGCGTTCTCTCTTCTGCCATTGCGTGTACACTAGGGCCTTAAACATTCCAAATTTTATGCCCTATAAGTGGTTTATCCACCCTGGAGTCTCGTACCTCTGAAAGAGCCCATCGCCGACCTTTCTGCGTTTCTTTCCACTTTTGGACACATTGGTAGCAGCAGTCCTCTGCTTCTCTGCACTCTCGTTTTTCGCGCGAGGATCTCCATCAAAAGTTTTAGTTGTCACCTGACCGAAAGAATGGGGAACCTCGGAAAAAAAACCCTGGAAAGGATAGGGAGTATGGAGAGAAAAAATAGAGAACTTGGCGAACAAACTTCGGGAAAGATGTGGGGGGGGTTTGGAGAATGAGGGAAGATGGGAGATAGGATCGGGAAGGAGGGTCTTACTAGATCAGGAAACTTTGAGGGGGCTGTATTCTGTAGAATTTTCCTCGAGGGCAGAATGTGCCCTAAGTGCTACACTTCCGCACGGAGAGAGGATTGCTTTCTCCAGAACGCCTTCCCGGATTCGGGTTCTTCCTCCAGTAAATCAACAGAATCGGTAGACCAAATGATCCCTCTCTCGATCCCGTCAAGGTATGAAGGCGCTTTAGGGCGCTTCTGCGGGGTGTAAAAAACTTCCGAGACTTTCTAGACTATCAGCTCGTAAAAGAGGGGTGATCAAACGCAACAAAGAAACGTCCTTGGAACATAAATCACCTGCGCACGATCCATGGCCCACTTGTTGTTGTCCGTGGATCTATATAGCCAGCATCCTCTGCCAGCTTGGTCATGATGTCGGCTGGCAGTTGAAACAATCTAGAGAGGTCGTTTTCAAGCTACAAATAAAGTGAGGTCTGAAGAAAGAGCAGGCGAACCTGTAGAAGTCTTCAGGATTCTTCTCTCCTTCCGCGCTGGTATTCTGTTGCGGTATGGGCAACTTTGCTACGGCCTCAATGGTTCCCTAAAATCAAATAAAAAATGCAGTGGGTGTACAAAATTGGGCTGAGGTGATCTACATCCACAACAACATGCCAGACGAATATGCTCAAGCCAAAATACAATGTTAGAAGCGGATGCGGTCAAGTGTGAACGAAGTGATTGTGTGACGATCCATACGGGGTGAATATACACCGCACACCATTACCGGCTGTTTATCTCTTCTATATAAAACCGAAACATCAGCATCTGGTGAGAATAGGACTGGCAAATCCGGACGACCCTAACACGCAAATAAACTGAGATCGAGAAGTCTCACGGGAGAAATAACGGAAATATTTGAAGAAGAGCTCACCTTGACAATCTGCTTCACGTCGAGAAAGTGCTCCTCTTCGGCTGAGATCGCCACCGCCAGGACGATCAGCCTCCCAGCACCACATCCTGAAAAAAAAACACATGATGACAGGTTTTTGCCAATTAAGGACAGTTCCCCGCGATCAAGTGTTCGCGAGATGGCCTCCCGTGTACTTTGACAATTCGTTTTCTCCGCATTCGCAGAGAAACACATCCTTTCTCACTCGAACTTGATACCAAAGAAGCACAGAGACAACGTGATTATTGCATTAAAGATTACTTTCAGTCTGGGCAAGACAACGGCTTACGACGGTCTGCGTTGTGCCACATAGCGTTGCTGGAGCGGTCTGTAGGGTTGATTCCTAGTGCTCATTGTCAGGGATTGTGGCACGTTGAGTCTTGCTTACTTGAGCCGCCCCGTTGCCTCTATACAAACTCGTCGCAGGGCCGCACTATAATAAAGAGGTCTCTGTTTCGAGAGTGCTTTCTCGGATGTTCTTCTCTTCTTTCTCTACTGGGGAGTTACTTATAGGCTATGGTTTATGACTGAGCACCTGCTACCCGCAAAGCTTGATCGCGAGAATTTTCTCTAAGGTAGACTAACGCAAAGGGAAGACGAAAGAGTGCGTAGGTTCAGTAGTCGTCAACTGAAGCTGAGCAGCTAGCACCGCACATAACTTTTAAGCGCATCACCTTAGCAGCAGACCCATCTTATCCACAAAAACCGGCGCTCCTGCCAGGCAATGAAGCATCAGTGCGATTGTTCATATGGAAACAACAAAAAGGGCAAGAGAACATGGTCGAAGGATGATCAAGAGACGGTGTTCACCCAGAAAGATACCCATGTTTCAGATATTTCACACTACCAGAAATCCGGATGTAGGAAAGAAAATGCAAAATATAGTCCATTCAATTACCTTTCGAATTGGATGCTCTTCGTGCGGTCATAAAAAAGTCTCGGCACCCATCGCACCAGAGGACATAATGCTACTGCCCGCCTGGTCAGCGACGCCACTGCGCCCTCTGGCTAACGCACCTTGCTCCCCCATGTCAGGCCTCTTATCCCATTGGACGTGGATGGATTGGCCATTTGCGCTCGATCTCGAAGTCCATTTCCGAAGTAGAAAAAACGATACGCCACTAGTCCTCTCCTGTGCTAAATTGGGCCAATATCAAGCAGCTGAGTGAAATTAGGGACGAAGTTTCAAAAAAGGCTTGTTATTTCCGTGGAATCATGCGCGAGGTCGTAAAAGCTAGTTCGAAAATTCATGTCTTCGATCTACCTTACATTACCAGTTTGAGGTGCCTGTGGAAATG